CCCCTAGCAAATTATACATATTATACTAAATATATAGGATAAAAGTAATACAAGTTCTTTTTATAAAAAATGTAAAGTATGTATATTTTGTTTTTATAGTTAATTTATCTGGCACTCTTTCGAAGCATTTTTTGGATGAAGCCTTGTGGTGGTCGTTCGGCCCCTGCGTTCTCCAGGGAGGCTATTCCTATAGAGGCCCTTTCAGAATTCGATGTCCAGGAAATACACTTTGATGGCAAGGAGGTTCTTGAAAAGTATTTTTGCTTTATTTAGACGCATTGTTTTTAGGCCACTTACTCCAGCGGAAACATTCCAAAGGATTGTTAATAAGATTGATTTTTCTAAGGATTATGAACTCGAGGCAAATAGCAGCTTTTCGAATCAGAATCAGACCAATGACTACATGTGGAATTCTCTCAAGGATGCAGTTAGGTATTTTCTTTTGGTTCCTTATTCATAGAAACCCTTTGACTGAAGTTACTGCCTTTGTTGACATACTCCAGGTCATAATTGATGGTCGCTATTTGTCCCTTTATCCAGTGGCTCCTACACAGACAAAGTCAAAGTTGAATTTAGCTTTGGCAGGAAAGCGAATGGTAGCCTTTTTGTTAACTTTATTTTACCTCCAGGCTTTGGCTTCGGCGGCAGATATGCTTATTAAAGGGGCTGAAAGGCTAAGAAAAAGGCATGCAGAACTTGCAGATTCTCGGTGTGGTGTGTCAATTTCTCTCGGAAAAGAAATCAATGAATCAACTAATTACCATGAAAATCTTAAGCAGCTTCGCCGTGAATGGCGTCTCAAGACTAATCATCATACAGTTATTGGTGACATTAGCCTTAGATGCATAGGATCACGTTTTCGCGAACCAGGAACTTTTGAAGTATGCGAGACTGAGATTCTGCGCAAGCGTAGGCACATTTCTTGCCTGCCTACACCATCAGGCTCGATGAAAAGTTTAGATGTAGATGCTTCAGTTTGTTTTTATATTTTCCTTCTAAGTGCCTTTTTTGCTTTTGTATACAGTGCTAAAATGATTTACTGGGTTTCGAAAGATTTTAGACATTGATAAACAATCCTGAAAGTTAGTATTTAATATGATTGGAGATCAACCCTCGTAAACTTTAACCTTCGATTTTGATTTCAAGGTTATAGGACTGCAACTATAACAGGCCTTGTATTTATTTTATATAA